ATCTAATGACTTTGAATAGACTTAATCGTTGTAATACATCTATATTACTGGATTTTCTTCCATAATTTTAAGTGGAATACTATCAGTCAATTACTTATACCGTTCACTGTATAGTGTATAAAGGAGCTTTACCATGGTGTATTAAATATTGTTTGCAAATAATGAACCAATTCTATATTATCACAATTGTTCTAATCAAGTTGATCTACGGACAGCAACGACATTTTCCTGATTGTCAATCTGGCCCATTATCACCGTATCCGATATGCAATTCATCATTGTCGTATCATGTACGGGCTCAAGATTTAATTTCTCATATGACAATCGACGAAAAAATATCACAAATGGTCACACGTTCTCCTTCGATCGATCATCTTGGTATTCCTGCATATATCTGGTGGTCTGAAGCTTTACATGGTCTTGCTTTTTGTCCTGGTGTACAATTTGGTGGTGATTTACCGTCAGCCACTTCATTTCCAATGCCACTTAATTTAGGTGCCACATTCAATATGAAATTAGTTTATGATATCGGACAAATAATATCCACGGAAGCACCAACATTCAATAATTATGGACAAGCTGGTCTTACATATTTTACACCAAATATTAATATATTTCGAGATCCTCGATGGGGTAAATTTCTATATTTTCAGAAATACACGATCTAGGTTATGATTATATTTGTCTATAGGTCGAGGACAAGAGACCCCAGGTGAAGATCCATATTTGACATCACAGTATGTTTATTCAATCATCAACGGCTTACAAAATGGGGATGATTCCAAATATTTGAAAATCGCTGCAAGTTGTAAACATTTCAATGCTTACGATTTAGAAAACTGGAACGGAACAGATTGTTTTAGTTTCAATGCAGTGGTCACTGACCAAGATCTTGTTGAAACTTATTTGCCGCCATTTGAAACCTGTATTCGTGATGCTCGCGTAGCAGGTATTATGTGTTCACATAATGCAATTAATGGTATACCATCGTGTGCAAATAAATTTCATTTACGAACATTGGCACGGCATGCATACCATTTAAATGGATTCATTGTTAGTGATTGTGGTGCTATTGATAATATAATGGGCACACATCATTATACATCAACAGTACAAGATACAGTAGCTGTGGCACTTCATGCCGGTACAAGTTTAGATTGTGGAGATTTCTACAGTAAACACTCAAAAGACGCTCTTTTAAATGGAACAATAAGTGAACAAGATATTGATAAGGCTTTGCAGTGGAATTATGAAACATTGCTAAGATTAGGTTGGTTCGATCCACCTGAACAGCAAGTGTATCGACAATATACAAAAGAACAAGTAAATACAAAAGAAGCTCAACAATTAGCATTGAAAAGTGCACAAGAATCAATTGTCTTATTAAAGAACAACAATGGTCCGCAACAATTACCAATTAATTTAAATAAATTATCGGGAAAAAGAATTGGATTAATTGGCCCAACCGCAAACGCGACAATTCTTCAGCAAGGAAATTATTATGGACAAGCACCTTACATCATTAATCCCATAGAGGGTTTTGAGATTGTTACAAAAGGTAAACTAATGTCATTCTAAATCGAACGGGTGGCCCATAAAGAATGACGGTCTCAGTATTTCGTGAATATCTGATGCAGTTTTTATTGCTCAGACCTTGCTTTTTTTTCAAAAGATTCCTCATTCAATTCTGTACACAAATGTGTGAAAAGGGTTTGCACAAAATGAAACCGTGAAAGTCTATCTGTTGAACACTGGTATGCTCCGAAGAGTCCTGTTTTCAAACTCACGTTTTCACAATATTAATTTTTTTCTCCTCTGACTAATAAAGTGCTGAATCGTTGTGATGCACATTTCTCGCTATTTCTCATGGCACTTGAAACGAGTCGCTTGGCTAGTATTACGAGATTTCAGGGACAGTTTGCCTTGAAAAACGAGCTGGAATAATTCAACATTTTGTTCTCACGCACAATTTGTTGCCAAAACTAACTGAACCCCGATAAAGTCGTTTAGTGACGATAGAAAGAGCATTTTTCTTCGACTGGCAAAGATTCAACGGTGAAAAGTTATGTTTTGAGCTAACCGCATGCAGGGTTATGGAGAAGTCCAATAACAGATCCAAAAAAACATCAATGTGAGAAAAAAGAAAAACGTTCTGTTCATACACGTTTCAAAGTCAGAATTTTTCTACCATCGCTCGACTGATAGAGCTTTTCGAGAGCTACAAATTGACATCTTCAATCTTTCTGTCATAGTCATACGGTGACGTGAAATGCAACGAACTATAGGACATACTTTGAAAAAGAGCATTTTCAGAGCATGCCAGTATACATCACATAGAGTTTCACGGTTCTATTTTGTAGAAACTTTTCATACCTTTTTGTAGAGAATTGAATGGGGAATCTTTTGAAAAAAAGGCGATCTGAGCAATCAAAACTGGATGAGATATTCACGAAATACTGAGATCGCCATTCTTTATGGGCCACTCATTATATGATTATTATATGTAGCATTTTAGGCACAAATGTATCGATTGAATTTGCTTTTGGTTGTTCTGTGAGCGATACAGATGAAAGTGGTTTTCAACAAGCACTTGATGTAGCTCATCGTTCCGATTACATTTTCTTTTTTGGTGGTCTTAATCAATCAATCGAAGCAGAAGCCCGTGATCGTACTTCGATCACATTACCTGACATACAAGTAAAGTTAATCCAACAACTAGAGCAAATGACAGAAGCATCACTTCATGTTGTTATCATGTCCGGTAGTGGTTTAGATTTATCGTTTATACGTGATTCTTCAGCATTTACAAGCCTTCTTTGGATGGGTTACGCTGGACAATCAGGTGGTTTAGCTGTAGCTACTGTTATCTTTGGTTTATATAATCCTAGCGGAAAATTACCAATTACATTTTATCCACAAGAATATGTAAATCAAGTTCCCATGACTGATATGTCAATGCGTTCAAGTCCCATAAATCCTGGTCGAACATATAAATTCTATATCGGTCAACCTGTTTATGAATTTGGTTATGGTCTATCATACACAACATTTAAATATGAATGGTGTGATTCAGCATCGTCATCAATATTCAATATAGAACATTTGATGACAAACCATTATGATGATCGTTTCATCATACAAACATATCGTGTCAATGTAACAAATACCGGTACAAGAGATGGTGATGATGTGGTTTTAGCATATTTAAAACCAGAACTGAAATTAATAAAAAATGTTCAACCCCCATTGAAACAATTATTTGGTTTCACTCGAATACATTTATCGATTAATGAAACGATACAAGTGTATTTTCCATTAAATATTCGATCACTATTAACAATTGGAAGTGATGGATCGAAATGGTTACACCAAGGTCAATATCATTTGCACATTGGAAAACAGCAGCAATCATATACAGTTAAATTATATGGAAAATCGTCTAGATGGAACTAAGACCTCTATGTTTGCTGATACTGAAAATTTTTACTATCGTTTGGTACACGATTCAAACGTTCCTTTGTTTTCTATACAAATTTATTTCTTTTACAGCTCAGAGTAACGTTTTTACATCTCACCACTTACAAATAAGAAAGCATATATAGCAGTAACAATTTATAAAACCCGATATAGACTGATCATTTTTAAATCAAATAGTTTTTCTTCGTTTTGATTTTAAGTTGCTGTTTGAAACTTGCAAAATCTGTATGAGTAAGCTGTACAGACCTATTTTCATACAAAATTGTATCGGTATTATGTTCCAAACATCTGTGAGTCATAAAAAAGGAAAAGTATGAACTAAACATTTTAAGGATAAATAGCCAGCAACAGCACTTGAAGATTAGGAGAGCATTTTCATATCAGTATTCCAATGAGTCATCTTTATTCTAACTGCGTCATTAAATTAAACCATAACGGTGAAAAGAACCACGTCAGGCTGACTCCGAGAAACCATGCATAAAAACCGTCATGATTTTCACGGTTGTTTTTTATCCGTGTATGTCTTGATGTAATACGAGAATAAAGTCTGACTATCAAACAGGCGGATGCTTCAACTGATATTATTTTCTTGCTTTTCTTTAGGTCGTATACTATAAACTGCCTCGATTGAAGAATAATTAATGGTTTCAATTCTTATTTCATAAGCCAAATAAACCACAAGGTGGATCAGATCTTCATTCTTTTATGTAGGTATATTAATTAATTAATTTTTTTAAATTAATTTAGCTATCTCCAACCATCATACTTCATTCGAATCACCATCCGCCAGAGAACGTATGGATTTAAGAAACTTTCATTTCCCCGTTGAAAAAAGTCATCATTAGTGTAGCAAGGTCAGAATTCTGCCCCTGATTCTCAGTTTTCTCCAATAAAACTCGACTTCTATGTAATACAAATATCATATGCGGAATCAGGATCAAAACCGAAGCTGACTGACGTGTATTGCTACATTTTTAGTATATTTTCATTTTTTAGTGAAATTTCGATGATTTTTCAACGTGAAAATTCGAAAAAAATTAAATTATTTGAATGAGTTGGAGATATATACCAGTAGACTCAGTTTTCGTGCCTGATTCCGAATATGATATTTGTATTACATAGAAGTTGATTTTTGTTGGAGAAAATTGAGAATCACGGGCAGAATTCTGACTTTGCTACACAATGATGACTTTTTTCAACAGGGAAATGAAAGTTTCTTAAAGGTATTTTGTTTGGGAGAACAGGATGTCAAAACGTCCATGGATGAACTTAGCCCGTCCTGCTCGAAGACATCAGAACGATGCATTAGTGACAAACCTACATGGATATACTCACGTTTTGATGCTGAACTCGGATAAAATAGTTTTCGAAAAACTAGAGTGAACGGAAAACGGTCAAATCTTGACTTTTCTCTAAAACGCTTACTTTTCACTTTTTCCGACTCTTGTGGTATTTTGAAGATTTCTCCCCTAAACGTGATGGAAAAAAGGCGATATTCGGACTCAGTTCGACCAGCTCTGTTCTAAATCGCTTCTATCAGAAATCTATCGTTTTGCTTACCTTTCAAATGTGGAGCACCTTACATGGTGCCTACCCAGGTGAAACACAACTGACATTTAATAAGCTATTTAATACGTTTTAAATATATGCATGTGAAAACTGGCTTTTAACACTCAAATAACTGTCAGAAAACTGCCAGTTAACAGTTAGTTTATTGTCTGTTATGTGATAAAGGCTCGAGAAAAAGCATTAAAAATACCACAAAATTTTTGAAGAAAAGGCAGTTAACAGTCACTGTTTATAATGTCAAAAAAACAGGCATTTAACTGTGCATCCTAAAATGTAAAATACCTATCACAGCTAAATGGCTATTAACCGCTGTTAACAGGCCATTCTTCAAGTGCAAAGTATACAGCGAAACAACTAACATTTAAAATGACTGTTTCATTCATCCTTTTATTTTGTAATCACGGCTGATACATATAGATATCCTGACATTTCAAAGAAATTTGAAAATTTTTTCTCGTCGATTGTACGAGTCACCGAAACTGGTCTCGCGAAAGTCGGCGCTGGTTCTGAATGTACCTTTTAATCTAGTTAATCTAGCTGTAAGCGGGCGTTGCAGCTGGATTTTCTCGCTTACTTAGTTTTGCTTGGGAAGCATTCAATGACACGATCAAAATGCTTACATCGAAAAATCTCAGGATACGTGATTCTTTGTTAAATCGAAATTCTACAATGATTGCTTCGTTTTATGCTTAAATTTGTGGAGACGCTCGTGGAATCTTGAATTATGTAATATGCTTGATCAGTACAGCTAACAAAGCACAAGCACAAAGCGAGTCACTTTTTTCTTAGTATGACACGTTTACTCGTACAACTTTATGTAACACATTTCTAATCTCCCAATTGAACTCAATCAGTTTGGTGATTACTTCATCGATAAAGGTCACTCTATGGCACGGCATGTTCAAGTGAAAACGTTGTAAATTCTTATTTCATTCTTTCATATACGGGTAGGCAAAATATAGCCAAAAGAACACCGTTACTCTACATTTACTTACCTTCAACGAGAGAAAATGAAGTATGACTGTAAACAAACATCAAAAGCGCATTTTTATTTTCTTTTTCATCCAACGACAGTTCTGTTGATTTGAATGTACGTATGAAGATGGCGAGGTACGGACTGTATCAATTTTTATTTCTGATCAAAAATTCTCAGTTTTTTTAACCACAATATTCTCCAAAATTTCCACTTAGAATTCTATCAAAATTATTTCGCGAGGACATCTCACTTAGGAGAGAATCTCTCGAGGTACTGAAAAGCCTTTTGACTTTGAATATGATGGTTAGACAGGGCATGGTTCGGAGTGAAATATTCTAAGCTGGTTTTGGCGGCGTGACATTTTGACACACTAATTTTCACTTTTTAGAAAAACTGTAGCAGCCAGAGAGTTGATTTTACCATCATTTTAAGGAGGGTAGAATCCTGCATCTATGCTGAAAAAATGAGAAAAATCCATTCACATATGCGAACTGCCGAATCGTTTTTGGAGCGTAATGCCGTATCAAAAAACAATCATAGGTTTTGAGATACGAAGATAAATAACTCATTTCCTACACATTTTTCGAAGCAAAGAAAAAATTGTTAAGACGGCGTTGTAGAGCTGACGGGCTACATATTGGCAAAAAACTTTCTCAAAATGAGCTCTAATCAGTTGGAAAAGGCCTTAAAAGTAAAGTAATGCCGTGACATTTTTGGTAAGGGCGTGACGCATTTTTTTTATGGTAAAAATGAATTTGAATTTCTATCGACACAGTAATTTTGTTTTTGATAATCTCTGATGACACAGTAGACTTCCATCACTTTTGAATCCACCATAATGCTCACGTCTCCCTTCGGTCGGCGTTCGCTACGGCACTGTCTGAAATATGTTGTAAAGTTTTCTCTGATTTGCTGTGTGAGGTTCGTAATCCAATGTAAATCTAAAAGGTTTTCTCCTTATGATTGGCTTATCCATGGAATATTTGACAGCCGTTTTTCCGTATTTTGTGCATAGACACACAGACAACCATTTTGTAAGACACCAGACTAAAGTCAAGGGAAAAAGTTGTTTAACTCAAAGAACGATCATAAACGAGCTTTCTATTAACTCACATTCGTTTTTGTCATGGGAGCGCTACTCTTGCGCAGACAATATGTCTTTGTGTATGAGTGAAAGATTTGGGAATCGCCATCGAGATACTTTTCTATAGGGAAATGTTATGCAAAGCGGGCTGCTCTTCTTTGCACAGGAAAAAACATCGAATGTTTTATTTCGCTACATAATACTTTTATTATGGGCCAGTGTATATATTTATTCAACTTTTCACAAGTGTCGATAAATAATTTGCGCGCGATAATTTTTCTTAATAGTTATTTACATTTCGGTTTAATTCAACGTTAAGCTAAGCTTGGCGTAGTGTGTCGTCTGAGAAAAGCGTCGATTTCGCTATAAACAAAGAAACTAGTGAGGAAGAACAGGATATTCGTCTTAAAAAAAGCGATGAATCATAGCTTCATTATAATCAAATGCTTTGACTATTGCAGATATGTCTAGTCTCGATTGCACACAAATTCTTACTGCAGACGGTTCAATTTCGTCGATTGGTTATAATGTAAGTATTTCTAATGTAAGTTATTTTTCTGCGAGGAAACGAGAACTGAAATTGAATTAATAATAGAAATGGATCGACTGTCACGATCAATAAGTTTGACAGAACGACATTAACAAACTTATCCATGTTATCCCTAGTCGAGACTCCTGATTAATCTCCCGCAGGAGTCCTGGAAAAAAGTCCTACAGGAGTCAGCAGGAGTCCTGTCACGGGATCCCGGCAGGATCCTCTGTGGAGTCATGGAGGATTTTTAAGGGATTCCTCAAGACTCCCACAGGAGTTCTATGGGATTCTTAAGGAAGTCCCTGGGGAGTTCTCGGGGATTTTCAAGAGAGTCCTTGGGG